TTTCAAGTTTCTGTATGCAGTTGCAATTAAAAAAATGTTTTATAAGGGCTTGTCCTCGGGTCATGTCAACCCGAGGGCAACAGGAGGGGGGGAAATTTGAAAAGATATCAGTTTTACGGAGATCAGTGATGCCATTCCATACTGTTTGCCTGTCCAGCTGTGATTTCCTTAGTCTTTCAGTCTGACCTGAGGCCTGGGTTTAGTTATTTTTATTTCTTTTGTAAAGTTCACATTGAATTGCTTGAGCCTAAACTTCCCCCTGAGTTGTGCACACCGTAGTTCTGATGCAGGACTGTTAGATTAAAGTTTCTGTATGCAGCTGCAATTGAAAACATATTTTTAAGGGCTTGTCCTCGGTCGACATGAGCCGAGGACAACAGGAGGGTTAATCCATGGACAGAAATTCCCCAAATTTTCTGCTGGGGTGAGTGATTGTTGGATCTGGGCTTTAAGAGTATGTTATGGTTTTTTTTGTTTTTTGTTTTTTTCGTTTACTGACAGCTAAAGAACAGGCTTATGTGTAAGATGTCAATTCAAGATATCAGTCAAGCAGCAATTATCTTTACTAAAAATGCAAAATGCTCTTCACATCTGTCCACTTTGTCAAACTGACAAGATATCACCAGACAATTCTCAAAGAAAACTGTGTCATACTGATTATAAGTGTTTCAAAAGCCACATGCGCATAACTCATCGCCGTGAGCGTGTAAAGTTGTAAAATCTAAAGGCAAGTGGTTGGGAGCGTAATATTGGAGATAACAAATCAAGCTGCCTTAGATGTGGTGAGAACATTTGCAGCAACAAGCTCAGACTCATGAACTTGACAATGAGTGGGCAGAGAAGTGTACTGCTTAAAGACTGCCGAGGAATAAAACTGTCACTTAGAGCCAGCCATCTGTAAATCATGGCAAATTGTGCATGGCTCTTTGTGGGGGGAAAAAAACTGTAAAGGATGCACACCACTCTGGCAGGGGCTTATTGGCAATAGAGCAAACGGTAACGTTCGACTGATCTTCCTTTAAGTGTATCAACATAAGTAAGGTTATAAAATTATTTTGGTGACATCATGCACGACCAACTGCAGTCCAGAAACTTCTTCTCTCAGATGGTCTAACTATTTTAGTAAACCTCAGAAATGATTTAAGTGAATTTGGTTTCTTGGGCGTAGCACAGAGTCTATGAGTGAGTCACCAGGTCCTGGCCTGACCTCCAGATAAAGACTGCCAACCTGTTAAGGTTTATGAAGGCCTGTACGCAAAAATATCTTTGTTTTCTTTAAGGGACATTAACCTTAACAGGAGACTGTTTAAAGACTGCTTTTAGCACAACACATTTGTTTGTTGGTTTATTTGGAATTTCGCAAGGAAAGACATAACTTTTTCGGAAACCGAGACATGTAGACGTCGGTCAAGTAAAAACTAAGGTAACGATGATTCAGTTAAATGACAGAACAGCACAACGATTTAACCTGCTCCTTTTACAAAATAATACAAAATGGCATCGATTCAGACGAATTCCCGTGCTTGTTGAGCATTTTAATGGTATTTCAGAGGTTTCTCAGAGAAAACTGCACATAAGCTGGATTTTAATGAACACAATAAAAAAATGACAAGATTCAACAATGGCTGTGCATTTGTACACAACGGACTCGCTTGCTTCACCAAAAGCGTTGTTTTTCAAATTAATTAAAGGATAAATGTCACATTAAAATGTGAAAAAGTTAAATAATAATAATCAGCACCTGTTTTTAAACTAAGGAGTTAAATGCACTGTATGAATCAAGTACTATGCCAGACAACTGCATGCAGATGCAGCTTTACTCTGCAAGGAAAACACAGGAGTTTCAACATGCAAACAAACTTGGAAGCCGACTGAATAAGAGGCTCAAATGGTTATTGATGAAATAATAACTCCTGGGGATAACCAACAGATCAAGTTACAGTTTTTGTGCATATAATCTCCCGACATGACATCATATAGGGATGTAACTTCTATTTGTGTCCGACATGAAGCGTGTTTATGCTTCATGCCAGCTTCCAGTGGCTAAGGGTGGATACTCATGAGTGGTCAACAGATTGGTGAAGAACCTCCCCAGGGATGTGATCATGGTAGGTCAGGACATTGAGAGCCGGACTGAAAAACAACAGCAAAAAAAAACAGAAAACAACAGTTTATTTTTATTTGTTTATATATATATATATATATATATATATATATATATAATATATATATATATATATATATATATATATATATATATATATATTAATATAAAACATCAGTCACCTCCTCTACATGGATGACATCAAGCTGTACGCCAAGAGTGAGCGAGACATCGACTCACTGATCCACACCACCAGGATCTACAGCACTGACATTGGGATGTCAATCGGACTAGAGAAGTGTGGTCGGCTGATCACAAAGAGGGGGAAGGTGATCCGCACAGAAGGAGTCTCACTCCCACAAGGAACAATAGCAGACATAGAGGACAGTTACAAGTACCTAGGTATACCACAAGCAAATGGCAACCTCGATGAGGCACAAGGAAAGGAGCCACAGCTAAATACCTCCAACGAATAAGGCAAGTCCTGAGAAGCCAGCTCAATGGCAAGAACAAAATCAGTGCGATAAACAGCTATGCCCTGCCAGTAATCAGATACCTGCTGGAATAATTAGCTGGCCAAAGGAGAGATAAAAGCCACAGATATTAAGACCAGAAAGCTACTAACCATGCATGGAGGGTTCCATCCCAAATCCAGCACCCTGAGACTGTACACGAGCCGCAAGGAAGGAGGCAGAGGACTAGTGAGTGTGAGAACCACTGTCCAGGACGAAACAACTAAGATCCATAAATACATCAGAGACAAAGCCTCAACAGACAATGTGCTCAGTGAATGTCTCAGACAACAGGGAACGGAGGTTGAGGTGCCAGAGATACCATCATGGGAGGACAAGCCCCTACAGGGATGTACCAGAATATGGACTAGAAAACCCGAGATCAAAGTGGAAAACACCCCCAAAGGTGGTGGAGAACGCCAGAGCTAAGATCCTGTGGGACTTCCAGAACCAGACAGACAAAATGGTAATGGCGAACCAACCAGACATTGTCGTAGTGGATAAACAACAGAGGAAAGCCGTTGTGGTAGATGTAGCAATACCAAGTGATTGCAACATCAGGAAAAAGGAGCACGAGAAACTAGAGAAATACCAGGGCCTCAGGGAAGAACTGGAGAGGGCCTGGAAGGTGAAGACCACAGTGGTGCCTGTGGTCATCGGGGCCCTCGGGGCAGTAACCCCCAAACTGGAGCAGTGGCTACAACAGATCCCAGGAACAACATCAGACATCTCAGTCCAGAAATGTGCAGTCCTTGGCACAGCCAAGATACTGCAGGACCCTCAAGCTCCCAGGCCTCTGGTAGAGGACCCGAGCTCAGAGGATAAGAACCACCCGCGGGAGGTGAGAAGGGAATTTTTTTTATATATATGGTTTAATTCATATCATATTACATCATAAAATAAGATAAAAACCTTTTTTTGTCCCTGCAGTTTTAAAAAATAACCACCAGGGGAAACATCTACCTAGTGAACAACCCTGTTGAAGCCTCGGCCGTCATAATGTCTCTTTTGGGGACGCCGTGACGTCATAACGCGATGTCTCAAGAACTGTGTCATATTGGGGAACAGAGCAGATACCGACAAAAAAAAAGAAAAGAAAATCCTCAACTAGTTTCAAAACAATTGTTTGTAATATTTGTAAATCAGCAACAACAACAACAAAAACTTGTTTCTTATAAAGATAAGGATCACTGATAGATAGATAGATAGATAGATAGATAGATAGATAGATAGATAGATAGATAGATAGATAGATAGATAGATAGATAGATAGATAGATAGATAGATAGATAGATAGATAGATATAGATAGATAGATAGATAGATAGATAGATAGATAGATAGATAGATAGAAACTTCGCAAGAAGCTGTTTGCAGCTGTTTAAGGCGTAATCCATCTTTTTTTTTTTTCAGTGTATAAGATCTCCATGTTAAGACAAAACAAAGCAAAGGTTTGCCCCGCGCGCCCCTTCCTTCTTGACGCAGGACTGAGTCAGCAGCGGTGCTCTTAATGAACCATTCACAAGGCATAAAACCCAGCACGTAGCCCCATCCCAAACCTAAAAACTTATAAAAGCAGCAAACTTCACAGCCAAAGCATTCAGACTGAGAACAACAAGAGGTGTGCGAACTGCAATTCCGAAGCCGAGGGAGCCGCGCATCATCAGGTAAGGTCCACTAGGAAAAAAATAAAAATCTAAATAATAAAAAAAAAAAAAAAAAAAAAAAAAAAAAAAAAACGGGGGGGAAACGCAATATTTTGATTATATGTTTCTGTGAAGTTACTTACCTGATGAAAAGAGGGGAAAATCGTGTAACTGGAATTTCCATTAATTTATTAGGATTTTATTTAACATTCTGACTTTAATCCGAGAAAAATTCAAAGTAAATATTACAATGAAATTACATTTTGTTATTGTTCAGCAGTAAAAATATTTGTTTTGATAAAATCTTAGATATTGTGAGATATTAGATCTCACCATTTCTATAACTAACGATTTAAATCGATTCTAGATTTTTCACTATTATAAGGATTTTATTTAATAATTTCTGCAAAGCTCTTTGACATTATTAGTATTATAAAATGCAAAGAAAAAAAATCATAGGCATGCAGGTTAAAAAATATTAAAATATTGTTTCTGAGTTGCAATATTGTCCTGTCTTTCAGAAAATCAGAAAAATTAACTGATCGTGCTTACAAAGTGTGAGTGTCTAGTCATTTAAGTGATTTATCTCTTTTGGCCTCATGTACTCATAGTATTTAAAATTCATTCAAACTTTATCAGAGAACTTTTTCAGGTTTCTCATCTGGAAGTATTTGAAGTTTCTTGAGCCTCGTTTGAACGAGTTAACCAACCTGTCGTGTCTTTTGGTCTGCAGAGCAAAATGAAGCTGAAACATTCATTAAAGAAGCTTTGGACAATCCTTCGAGCCATTTTCACGTTCCTCTTTGCTCTGCTGGTTCTGGGAGTCATGGTGTGGGCCTATGTGGAAGGCTTCCACTGGTGACATCCATGTACGGGATCATTTCCTTTGGCTTTTACGGACTCCTGCTCTCCCTCCATGTTCTGGTTCAAAGCCTTTTTGCCTTTATTGAGCACCGGCGAATGAAGACTCGCACGAAACCGTGCAGCTACACTAAAACAATTGGATTCACTATTTCGGCTTACCAGGAGGATCCCAGCTATCTTAGAGAGTGCCTCAACTCTGTCAAGAGCTTGCAGTATCCCTCAGAGCTGTTGCGCATCATCATGGTGATAGACGGGAACTCAGACGATGACAGGTACATGATGGACATGTTTAGGGAAGTGTTTGCAGACCAGGATCCAGGTTTCTTTGTGTGGAAGAACAACTACCACTCATGGGATCCCACAAAGCCTCAGCAAGATGAAGAGATGGGAACAGAAAGCAATGCTGATTATGTCATTGGAGAGGATCCTCAGAAAAAAGACTTGGAGCATCTGATCCAGACCAAAAGGTGTGTGTGCATCATGCAGAAGTGGGGAGGCAAGCGGGAGGTGATGTACACTGCATTTAAGGCTTTGGGATCATCAGTTGACTACATTCAGGTATTTACTTTTCTCCATTTGTTGAAAATCTCAAAAAGTCTTACTCAATGTCTTGTTAAAAAAGAAAAAAAAAAACTTGTGGCATTGCAAATTTTCAGTGATGTTTCATGTTCTGACTCCTCAGGTGTGTGATTCTGACACCAAGCTGGACCGTTTAGCTACTGTGGAACTGTGCAAGGTATTAGAGAGCAACCCCAGGTACGGTGCTGTGGGAGGAGATGTGATGATTCTCAACCTGAAAGATTCATACATCAGCTTCATGAGCAGCCTCCGGTACTGGATGGCTTTCAACATCGAGCGGTCCTGTCAGTCCTTCTTCAACTGTGTGTCCTGCATCAGCGGTCCTCTGGGTAAGGAAAACAATTGTCACTGATGTCAAAGGAGGATCATTTTGAAATAAGCTCCCCATTGTTGAAAGACCTCACTCTATACATATTTTTTTCATGCAGGTTTGTACAGGAATGACATCCTCCAGCAGTTTCTGGAGTCCTGGTACAACCAGAAGTTTCTGGGAAGTCACTGCACATTTGGAGATGACAGACATCTCACCAATCGAATGCTGAGCATGGGCTACGCCACAAAGTACATGCCCTTTTGTTATTTCTATTACAAAACCCAAACTAAATAAACTACTCATAATTCATCATATTTTTGAGATGCTAAATCAAAACACTTCTATAATTTTGTCTGTTGTGTTGTTTTAGATACACAGCTCGTTCCAAGTGCTACACAGAAACACCCGCCCAGTTTCTTCGCTGGCTCAACCAGCAGACTCGATGGACCAAGTCCTACTTTCGCGAGTGGCTCTACAACGCGATGTGGTGGCACAAGCATCATCTCTGGATGACCTACGAGTCCATCGTCTCTGGTATTTTTCCTTTCTTTGTCACAGCCACGATCATCCAGCTGTTCTGGACGGGCTCGCTGTGGGACATCCTCTGGGTTCTCTGCTGCATCCAGCTAATCGGGCTGGTGAAGGCGGCCTACGCCTGCCTCCTTCGCCAAAACATCGTGATGGTCTTCATGTCGCTCTACTCCTCGTTGTACATGACCAGTTTGCTGCCTGCAAAGTATTTTGCCATTCTCACAATGAACAAAAGCAGCTGGGGGACGTCTGGCAGGCGTAAGATCGTGGGTAACTACATCCCCCTGCTTCCGTTGTCAGTGTGGGCTGCTGTTCTCTTAGGCGGGTTTGGATACACAATCTACAGAGAGACTCAGAAAGATTGGTCAAGTCCAGCCAAGGTTATGGAAACTCGGTTCCTTATTTTTGGTTGTGTGGCTTACGTATGTTACTGGCTGGTCATGATGTTCCTCTACTGGGTGTGGTTCCGCAGGTTATGCAGAAGGCGCTCCCAAAGCTACACCCTTAGCGTGTAGATCTAAAGACGAATACAATTTTAATGACTTTATTTATTGTATTTATTTTGTCAGTACACACTAAGGGATTAAGTATTGTTTTTATCAATCAGAAGGGCAACATCGACTATTTCACTCATATGGAGATGTTTTTGCATATTTAAAAGCATATGAGCTGAAGTTTTTGGAATTATTGCAATATGGAAACTTTTTCTCATTAGATGATGAGAAAGCTTACTGTCTAAGACATTTATTTATGATATTTAAATCTGGGGAAAAGTGATTGGTTATTTCTATAAAGACTAAATCTACTGATGCCACTACTGTCCATGTATATAGTTGTGTACACTTATGAGAATGAAGTTGTCTCCTCACTGAATGCTGCACTGCATCTCAGGCTGTTCTGCATATTTTACTTGAAACTTGCACACTGTATGTAGAGTAAGCCACACTGTGAAACATCAACAAGCAGAAAAGCCATCTCTGACCAATGCCTGAGTTTATTGCAACACTTTATCATACATACTCATACATTATTTTTTTGGCAAAGAAAGCTCACACAATTCACTGTAATCAAATCCATCTAACAGCATAAACTAGAAAATTCCTGAAGAAATTTAACCGGGGCCTGCCAAAATGTGCCCGTCAGTTTGGACCCAGCGTTCTGATGCTAAACATTAGCATCCATGCTAAAGAAAGCTGCAATGTCATCAATACCATGTGGAGAGTCACAAGCATGACTTACTGCATTAAGTAAGGGAAATAGCGAATACCTCATGCAAGGTAAAAGGCTAATGCTAATGCTCTACTTGCTGTGCAAGACAGTGCCCTAACTTGAGAGGAAAAGATAATGCAAGCTAATATCATTGCAGCGCCCGCGGCGCTGCATTAGCCACAGACGAATCTCAAGGCTTTTATTTTGGAATTTTCAGAATGCTTAATTTTAAACGGTCAATGTAATCCCATGTACAACAGTGATTTGGTTAAATCAGACATATAATGGTCAAAAAAGCACTTAGTTAATATAAAAATTGTCAAGGCTTTTATTTTGAAATTTGTTTAAAGCTTAATTTAAAATTGCCAAACTAATTCCATGTGTAACAATGGTTGGTTAAAAAGAGTTATAAAAGGCCCAAAACACAAGCAGTTCTAAAGTCCAGCTTTTTCCTCTGAGTTCTGCCATGTTAGAACTACAGTGATGCGTTTTTGTAGTCCTAACCACTGGCCCCTGCTGTGTTCCATTGCTATGGTAATGGATCCTCTGCCAGCTGTGAGTCAGACAGGGGGAGACATAATTCTATCGTTTGTGGCAGCCATTTTGCCTAAAATAGGCATGAGCCAGAAAGAGTCTTAAGGCTTTTATTTGGAATTTTCAGTAAGTCTTCATTTTAACTTTCCAAAATAATCTAAAGTGTAACAGTGGTGTATATAAAAAAGTCACATAATCCCCAAGAGAGCAATTCCATAATATAAACGAATGTCAGGGCTTTTATTTTGAAATTTTAATTCAACTTAATTTAAAATTACCACACTAATCCTGTGTGTAACAATGGTTGGATAAAATCAGTTATAAAATGCCCAAAACACAAGTAGTTCTAAAGGCCAACAATTACTCAGAGCTCTGCCATAATAAAAACTACAGTGATGCGTATTTGTAGTCCTAACCACTGGCCCTGCTGTGCTCCGTTGCTATGGTAATGGATCCTCTGCATGCTGTGAGTCAGACAGGGGGAGACATAATTCTATCAGTTTGAGGCAGCCATTTTCACTAAAATAGGCATGAGCCAGAAAGGAATATTAAGGCTTTTATTTTGAATTTTCAGTAAGCCTCGTTTAAATGGCCCCAATCTATTCACATGAGTAACAGTGATTGTGTTAAATCAGTTCTAAAATGCTCCAAACAGCAATTGATATAAAAATTGTCAAGGCTTTTATTTTGAAATTTTCATTAAGCTTAATTTCATTAAGATTAATTAAACTTAATTAACACTAATCCCATGTGGTAGCAAAGGTTGGTTAAAATCAGTTATAAAATGCCCAAAACACAAGTAGTTCTACAGGCCAGCTCCTTCCTCAGAGCTCTGCCACAGTAAAAACTACAGTGATGCGTTTTTGTAGTTCTAATTTATAGTTCTAAAGGCCAGCTCCTTCCTCAGAGCTCTGCCACAGTAAAACTACAGTGATGCGTTTTTGTAGTTCTAATTAGCTTCTCGGCCCTGCTGTGCTTCGTTGCTATGGTAATTAATCCTCTGCAACTGTCATGTGTGTGAGACAGAAAGAATTCTATCTTTGTGAGACACCCAGTCAGTTTTGACTGAAAAAAGCGGTCCAAACAACTCCTTCCCATTCGGAAACCGTGATACGTATCGGAAAACCGTTTGAAGCGTATAAGAGGGCTATCTTTCGTCTCCGATAGTCCCCCTATTCATATCTGTACATCACTCACATTAATAACAGCGACAAGATAAAAATGGTGTGCGCTGAGGTCTGACATTTTTCAGAAATACATGGAAGTGATCCTGGCTGAGCGAGTCGAAATCCTGTCGCATCACTTTGCTCTGAAGCCCTAGACAGAAAACCATAAGCCCTAGAAAAATTTTGAAAACATTTTACCGGAGCAGGCATGCGTATCTATGTCATGACCGAGTTTGATACCGATAGGGCGATATTTGTGGGCGTGATGGCGATTTCAAAATTTATTTGGGGTCAGAATCGCACTGCTTCCCACACTCTAACGAAACGTCAGTTACACTCTAGTTTGGGCAGTTTCTAACTGACAAGAATTTTTTGATGGTTTTTCGCTTTTTACTTTTTTATCGTAACTCCGAATCCCACCAAAAGTAATAGCTCCAATGCCGGGAACGAGCCGCACGTTTTGATACCACTTTTGTGGGTGGGCTCGCAGCGGTGCGAGCCGCATTCCGGTCTACGGAAGAAAAATAAAGTTCTATAATAATAACTAGAAAATTCCTGAAGAAATTTAACCGGGGCCCTGCCAAAGTGTGCCCGTCGTTTGGACCCAGAGTTCTGATGCTAAACATTAGCATCCATGCTAAAGAACGCTGCAATGTCATCAATAGCATGTGGAGAGTCACAAGCCTGGCTTACTCCATGCAGTATACTAAACATGGGTAATAAGTGAGGGAAATAGCTAATACCTCATTTAAGGTAAAAGGCTAAAGCTAATGCTTTGCTTTGCTTGCACAGCAAAGTGTCAGACTGAAGACTGGCACCGTCTCAAAAGAGAATTTCAGATTTCTTAAACTGAAAGACTTTTATGCTTCGAAGCCACATTTCCAAAACCTCCGGTGGATGCCGCAGAAGATGCTGGCATTGTTTGCTTCACCTTCATGTGTGAGCAGATTTTCAGCGTCATAAACATCAAAAAAGCTCATCACAGATCCTGGTTAACTGACCAACACCTCAGATCTGTTCTGAGAATTGCCACAACAAAACTAACTCCAGACTTTGATGCACTGGCAAAAAAGGGAGAGCAACACTGTTCCCACTGAGATGTGAGTTTCTCTAGTGTGTTATGAAAAAAAAAAGCAACTAGCATTTACGCACAGCAGCCATACAGTAGCTTAATTAACATGCCGCACATGGCTCTCAATTTAAAGATCCCTTTCTTTCATTGGGTAATAATATTGAAACGATTCTGTTTTAGTTCTGCTGGGTTCCACATGGTTATGTGTTATAAGTTACAATGTGTTCCTTATTGTTACATGTAGCGTTATTTACTTCCTCTGACTCAGCTGACTTCCACTCACACTTGATTGGTCTGTCATGACGGTGGGGGTGGGAGCAGCAGGGGTTGAGCGTTCGGTTTCCAGCTACGCTGTCACGGAGTGAACCAGTTTGTTAGGGGCTGCAGCCATAATAATAGCAGCTCTTATTCTTATTTCTAATAAACCCTGTTTGACGAGACTACAGCTGCAGTGTCGGCATCATTACAATATGTTCTGAAATATATACTTTGAAAGTGATTCCATTGATCTTTTTCCACTAATTGTTGATTTCTTTTAAATTTGCACCTTCAATTGTGTTTGTTTTCCATACATTTCAATACCCAGGTTTAATAAATTATAAGCATGTGGAGAATCACAAGCATGTTGACTAACATGTTAAAATTAGTGCACAAGCTAAAATTAGCCAAAATGCTAATTTTGGCTAATTAGCATTTTGCTATTAAATGCTATTTAATAGCATTTAGACTATTAAATAGCATTTTAAATGCTATTTAACCGACTATCAAATAGCATATTAAATGCTGTTTAATAGTCTAAATGCTATTAATATTTATTATAAACAATAATAACATTAGTTAAATAATATTTTTTTTTATTTCTTTCATTTTTCTTTGAAAACAAAAAAATATTTTTAAATGTATACATTAGTGACTATTGTCACTTAAGGCAAATGAATGTCGTTCATAATAGTGACAAAATTTTTTAATGAAAAAACCCACACACACAACAGATCACAATTTAAAAAAATATATTGAAGTCATATTAAAGATTTCTACAAACTTTTTACAAGTAAAGATTACAATGAACCACAATTACAACATTTAAAGATTACAATAAATTTCAGAACTTGATGTCTCTGCAATAAAAACTATCTTTTTTTATTTACATGTGTCCTGTCCAGCCGTGTGGCACTCAGGGTTGTTGCCTGAGTGTCAATGTAAGGCCTGACAGATTTAATCTCACAAGTGAAACATGGCTTTGCCACGATGATCAACTTGTCATAAATATCAAACTATTATACATATATACATACATGAAACATATATTAAACTATATTCTTACATGAAACTATTTTAAATATATACATACATGAAAAACTATTTACAACTGTAGAAAAAAAAAGAAGAAAAAACAACCACTGCTCCAAAGCTTTCATTTGGGATCCAGTCTATGTGACATCACAGACTCTGTAGTAAAAAAACAGACAAAAAAACAAATTAATATTCATGACATTTTTAAACATCTGTAGAATTTAAACTTCGTTTAAATAAAGATTTCAGAATGATTAACAGATATAAATACCAATATGACCCAAGAAAAAAGGGCATACATCCACTGGATTCCTCCTATGAAACCTAGATATATAACGTTATCAATCTCAACTTAAAATAAACCAAATTGGCAAATAAATTAGCCTTCATTTGTTATGTACTTACCTGGTCAGATTGTCCCACCTGGAACATTCAAAGAAACAAGAACTCCATCTCCTCAGATTGTATGAGGCCCAAGTCCATGAAGTAGGTGAGGATTTCCTGGACTGAAAACACACAAGTCATTCCATCAATAGACAGCTATTACCAACAACAAAAAAGTTACAACTTGTAAGGTTGCTACAATTTAGATACATTTTCTACATCTTATGGGCCAAACCTCAAGGTCTTGTTTCCTCTCTGTCTTCTTGGCAGCCTCCAAGGATCGTTTTCTGTGAAAAACCCTGCAAAAACAGACTAAAACTGGGAGAACAAAGGGTTAATTCCACCAAAACCAAACAAATTCTGACCAGATGGAGGGAGTCCAACAGGACAAAAATGAGCCAAACTTTTGTCCTGCTTGTTAAGTGATGATGAGGTAGCCACTAGGGGGCTGCAGCATTAAAAAGTTCAGTGTGACTGAGGAGAGATTGAAACAAGGAGAGCTTTAATTAAGTGACGCAAACGGTGAAGAATAAAAACGCAGTTCCGCAAAAAATTTAGGCTTATTTGAAGGGAAAAATTTATGTTAACTGAATTAGAAAAATTACGAAAACTTTATGGTCCCCATTTCAAATCATTTTAATTTCAAATAGAACAGAATATACATATAGTAACTGATTGTCTTATCTACTGCTCCCTGGTGCAACATTTCCAGCAACTACTCTGACAGTGAACCGATAAGTGTTTCAAGATCAGCCACTTTCGTATTCACAAAGCTCAAACAGTTTCATGTGCAAGTACAAAACCTCTTTATGAAGCCTCTTCTACAGAAGTAAATAAGTTTTGAAAAGATTCACTAAGTGTACAAGAATCTCTTATGCCTACAACAAAATCCACAAGCATACACCATAATTCAGAAATGTGTACAATGAATAAATACATATCAAATCCACTGCAACAATGATCAAGAAAATCGATCCACGCTATCATAATTACAAAAGCAAACAGTCAAATGAAATGACATTAAAAAACTAGATTCCAACATTTTCTCCAAAAAGAATTTCATATCATGATTTCAGGGTTAAGATGTACAGTGCTTACAAAGTAATCATACCCCTTGAACTGTTCCATATTGTTACATTGCAACCACAAATATATTTCATCCAAATGTAATATGAAAGACCCATGAAGTAGAACCCTTATGATTAAGTGAGACTGTTTGATTCAGTGTTCCCAGCCTTTGTTCAAAAAGAAGGACTTTTTGAACAAACATTGGACCAGCTCTACAGCCTGAGCAGGGTCCTGGAGGGTGCATGGGAGTTCACCTAACTCCCATGCAGGTGTTGGGTCTACAGATGTTTTGTGGACTTGGAGAAGAAGTTCGACTGTTTCCTTCGGGGAGCAAGGGGTGGGTTCTCTGGGAGTATGGGGTCCCGGGTCCTTTGATACAGGCTGTTAGGTCCCCATATGACTGGTGTCAGAGAGTGGTGTGCATTGCCAGCAGAGTCGGGCTCGTTTCCTCGGCAAAATCCAACTCTAAGCAGAAATGAGCTTGACTTACTGCCAATAATGCAGACCACGTTTCTGTAAGGTTGCACAGAAACCTTACAGCCCGTATCAAAGGACTTGGACACCATACTCCAGGAGAACTCCCACAAAGTTCCCAGAGGGACCCTGTGAAATGCCTTCTCAAAGTCCATAAAACACATGTAGATTGTTTGGACGAACTCCCATGCATTCTCCAGCATCTTGATGACCCTCCTTTCCAGGACTCCAGAATAGACTCTACCAGGGAGGCTTAAAAATATGACAGATTTTTTTTGCAAATAAACTGAAAAGTGTGTATTACTTAGTATATACCTGCAAAAATAAACAAATACTTCTCCTCTCCGCTGTTTTTCCATAGTTGTGGTTGTAATGTGATGAAATATGGAAAACTTGAAGGAACATGACTCCTTTTGCAAGCCACTGTAGATGCAACTTATACTGAAGCCAACACAGTATGTAGGATTGTGATAGCTGTAGTAAGTCTGCAAGACACCTGATTTGACACAATATTCTGGATGAGAGATGTAAATATGATCAAGAAGAGTACGTTTTTCTGTGGTTGGATCAGAGATAAGTTGCATAAACCTTTGGCTCTAAACAACTGATTGATGGCTTTTTTCCCAGGAGGAATAAGGTCCTCATTAAAGTCTCCTAATACGACAATGGGATGAATAGCCATTGAATTCAGGCCAACCAAGAGGCTTTGCAGATTTCTTAAAAAATGTTCCAAGATCATAACTTGGTGGCCTGTAAACTGTCGCGATGACTGCTCTGATTGGGGTGTCCACTTTGACAACGTTAAATTCAAGATCTGTAACCTCATTAAAGAATCTCCGTTCCTGCGCTTGGAGAAGACTCCGGCAGTAAGTCGCTACTCCCCCACCCTCTTTGGTGGCAATGTCGACTCTGTTCGAGTAGGAGACATGTCTGTTCCGTGAAAAAAAAGAATAGCCCTCCATTTGGCAGGAAGCTGGAACAGAAGATCCAAACAAATGAGTCTCCGTAAGGCATAAGATATCTGCCAACATGAGTTCATGATGTTGTTTCATGTCCTCAGAATGACAGACAAGGCCTTCGACATTGTGGTGGACAATCGTTAATGTTGCACTCTGATGACCTGACTGAAAATGCAAGAGTGGTCTGGTGTGCAAAAACGTTGCTGGTCTCATTGATTCCATCGCTGCTCTAATATTTTCATCAGCGTAGATCTTATTTTCATCGAAATCAATGATTTTAAGTCCTTCCAGGGAAGTTGTGCGACTGAGAGCTACATATGCCATTCCTGGCTCAAAAATCCGCTTCAAAGAAATGACAGCAGACTTCATAGTCATTCCTTGGACTTTGTGTGCTGTACAACCAAAGGCTAACCTAATTGGAAATTGCCGTCGTACCACTCCCTTTACGCTACTCTGTTCCTCAAATCTCTCAATATAAACAAAGCCGTCTGGTTTACCCCGAATTTTTTGTATGTCCAGCAAGAGGATTGTCCAATTTAAGTCCAATTAACTTTACGCTAGTCTTTCCCTCTGTGGTACTGGTGACAATATCAGCTATGGTGCCAAATGTTCCATTGACAAGACCGTCCTCTACATCCAAGTTTCTATTATCATTACTCTAAAACCCAAACCAGCCTGTATATTGTTAGACAAGTCTCGCTTGTTGCCTGCTATGCAACAGCCCAAGTTAATCATGTTTCCTGTCTTTGTAATTCTTTTGTAGTCCTCTGCCTGGATGTCAACTGTTACTGCACCTAAAGAAGCCACAACTGCTGCATTATGGGTGTCCACCTGTTTGTTTGTTGCAAAAATGTGTAGGACATCCATAGGACACTCTTTGGGCTCAGTAACAGCTTGAATCAAAAGAGTCTTATCATCGTCACTAAGCAAATCAGTTTTACCTTTAACTCTAATCCGGTTCAGGAGCTCTGCAAATGCTCTGTCATCTTTCTGCCGCATGATTTCGGTCAGGCTGATCATCTGGAAATTTTCATTCCAGATATCAAGCATGCCGTCCTCGGCGACACAAAGAGGTTTGCTCGTCCAAGGGGGGGAAGTTGGAAGAAGTCTCCCACAGCCAGAACAGAGACCCCACCCATGAACCTGTTGTTCCCCTTTATTTGTTGAAATCTCCAGTCAACATATGCAAGCAGGTCTTTGGAGACCATGGAGATTTTCATCAATGATCAAGATTTCCACACTAGAAAGAACTGCCCTCACTTCATCCAATGAATTTCCAAGACCCTTGTATGGTGGTTTTAAACTTTTGGGTAGTTTCAAGATGGAATGTAAAGTCTTCCCCGATATGTTGTACGCAGCAGTACCAGTAAAAGCTGTGAGAAGCACAGTGGGCTTGGACATGTCACCAATATCAAGAAGTCTAGGAAGCTGGCGCAAGAGCTTGGTTGCATCCTGGTAAACACATTTGATGACATGAGATTTACCACAGCCAGCTCCTCCTGTCAAGAAATAAAAGAAAGGTTCTGGGTTGTCACCCAGACGCGCTTCAGACACCAATCGCGAATGGCGTAAAACACGGATGCTTGAGTCTCGTTTAAACTTCTGTACATTTGTCTGATGAAATCAGGGCTCAATTGTGGAGCTTCAATTTTTGGCATGTCTCCAGTATTGACATCAATTTCGTAATCTGGAATAGGGTCTTGCTCTTCATCTTCTTCAAATGGTGGTCGCTCAGCAGCGCATTCTAAATTGTCCAATTCAACCTCTGGTGCAAAAGTGTTCCAGGCATTACGAACCGGTCCTTGCTTTTTAAATTCTTCCATAATTTTGTCAATTTTTTTACCTTGCCCTTCATACCTTTTGCGGTTGAAATCCACATACTTTTTAACCTGATATCTACCACGGAAACCGTTGTTGTAAAACGCTTCGTAGGTGGTGTGTTCCTCAGTTTTAAGGTCCTCATCTCTTCTGTGTGGACAATACAACTTTAGAAGCCGTCTATAAAATTTCGGGTGTTTTTTCTCTGAGAAACGAGTAAATCTGATAACTGCAGGTTTGCCCATCGTTCTTTTCTGGATGAATCCTGCATCATTAAGTAGGGGAATTGCATTGGCCCTTGAATTTGATTACCATATAAAACGCGGTATTCTGACGCAAATTCTGCCAGGCACATGTGTTCGAATTTCTAATGTTTCGGTCTGTTAGATATTTTTCCGGCAATCCTGCCATCCACACATTTTCCTCATCTGGAGACATGTTGACGAGTTTACTCATAGGAAGGCTCATTTTTACACCGTCTTCATCTGTTTGAAGAAAAAGAACATTACGCGAGGATTTTTTGAGAGGTAGGCTACAAGTGCGCGCAACCGATTCTTGAGCACTAACCTCTCTCTGTTTTGAATAAGCCTGCATAATCTTTTTCATTTCATCGCGTTCACTAACATTGGTCGCTTTTAAATCATTAACAACCGATTTGAGGAACTGTGCCATTCATGCTCTGGCTTGGCTATGTAGGACATCATGTACTCAATGCAGCTGTACTCATCAAGCACATACTGAATGTCCATGTTGGCATTCCACGCACGCAAAAGATCAGGGTTGTACCCATTCACCCAACTATCTTTAGGATCACGTTTCATCATTACCACCATTCCAGAAGTGAGAGCATCAACGTGGCCAATGTACTCTTCTTTGGTCATGTTACAAGCCTGGAGTAACTCTGACAAATCCCTAAAAGATGATTTTCATCCTTCAGTAAATCCCTAATTGGTTTCAATTTCTCTTCGCCTCTCTTTGTAGGTTTGAGATGAATGGTGATCTGGATTTTTTAGACTTTCTCCTACCTTTTTGCTTAATTTGCTTTGGTTTTTTGTCATCAATTTCCAGATCAAAGTCAATTACTGGGACGGTGATTCTGGTGCGGTCCATTGGTAGTTTTGGGAATCCAAATCGGCATTCAACATTACCTTTTTTACATGATTTTGAGTGTTTTTTGCTGTGCATTTGAACCTCTGTTACAATTTGTGGAGCTCTGGATCTCTGATTTCATCAGGCAACTGACAGGATATGTAACGATCAATGAACTTTATGACTTCACAACATGCAGGGTCTTCCATTTCAGGTGCATCCTTAATCCATATCACAGCATGTATATGGGGTGAACCCCTGGCCTGAAATTCCACACGATAAAAGTAATCCTCAACTGGTCCAATGGGATGTGCAGGGGAAAGAATGAGGTCTCTAAACAGTGCGTCCACTCTCTTTCAAACATGCGCATGACGGTGACAGGGTTGCTCCTAAGAATGTCACACTTCGCATTCCAGTCAAGCTCAGAAAAACTTACCTGCTCTCCATGTTGAGCTTTGATTGCCTCAATGACTTCTGGCCATCTCATTTCAGCAGCAGAGAACGTGCAAAAGAAAGTGGGCTTTCCAAGTTGCCTCACCATGGCGTGCAAATCACGTAATCCTTTTTCCCAATAAGCTGGAGTTCCTCTTAAAGGCTGCATGAAACGGGTGGCCTCTTTATTCTGGATCAGTTTTCCAGCTCCTTTTGTCCTGTAGCGTTTTGCTGGAAATATTTTTCCCATCTTTGGTGCTCGGTTTCCCTTTTCTTGTCTGAATTGACATACTGTCATTGGCCATCTGAGTTTCAGTAACAAACTGAGCAAAGAAAAGGTAACTCTGGTCTTTTGCAAACCGAGTATCTATTGAGAACAGCCGTACATTGAAATACCTACTCGGTGAAAGTGCAACACGGCGGGATTCATCTAACGTATTTACTCCAGTTGGGAAATGTACAGGATAAGCCTTGGCTTCAAGTCTCGGGACACTAAAGAAGGAGATGGGCTTATTCCCCTGGGCCGGTGCAATGCTGAAAATTCCTTCTCCATATGACAATACTTCCTGTGCTATGTCCGGAGGCTGCATGCAGGTGTCCAAGATCAGACCAGGTCGAAGTGCCTGATGCTCTGCCCCTATGTGGTCAGGTTGCTGGTCTGCTGCTGCATCCATTTCAGCCTCCTCTGCTTGTGTATCCGAGTCCTCAACTGGCTGATCCTCTTGAAAACCTTCAAATGTTGCGCTTTCATTTATACTTACCTCTTTGTAATCCGGATGACTCTCTTTAAGCTTCCTCAGTCCAGCTAACACATTTTTCATGTTGACCGTGTAAAAGTACTGGTAACCTTTGTACTTGGTTTCCTTCAGCTTCACCTGTAAAAGCTGGGCTTCCTCACGGGCCTCGGAAGACTGTTTACAACAGTTTCCATGTCAGAAGGAACACAGACAACTGCTCCATGTATTGCCCTTTGCTGTCCCTTGGGCAAGGAAACAATTTTTGCAAAAGGCAGAATTTTTGAAATTAATTGCCTTTCAAGTACATTCAATTCCGCAAGCTCTATGGGAACAGGAGCCAAGTGGAGGTTATTGGCAGCCGCAATGGATGGCATCTTTCCTCTACTTAGATAGGTGTCACATGTGTAGCAGATCCACTCCCCCATCCTCTCTTCAGGTACAGAACAAGGGGTTGAGCACACAGCTCCACACACATGAACATACGTACCTGTTAGACAATCAGCTACTACACGCATATTCTTGGTATATTTATCTCTTTTACACTGCTTTACTTGATTGGGGAAAAGAGCTCTATGACACACAGTGCAAACATATGTGGGTCCGTTTTGAATGTTCTTACAAAAGTTCTGTATTGCAGCTTTCATTTCGTCAGTCATCAAAGGGCGTGGAGTTTCAAAGTTAAAGCCTACATTTCTTCTGTACTTCCTTCTGATTCGTAAAGCATGCTGCAGTGTCAAATTTTTGGAAAGTACTTGTCTTGATAGTTTACCTCTTCTATTGGCAGCACATTTTTCTTTATGTTTGACTCGATAAGCAGGCTCACTATGATACTTCACCTTCATATATTCACACATTGTTTTTTTGTGTTTGCTTCTAAAGACCGGATCATCTCTGAATCGACTGCTGATGTATAATTTTTGCCTGCTTCTGAACATCGGATCATCTCTGAATCGATTTCTGATGTATAATTTTTGCCTGCTTCTAAAGACCGGATCGTCTCTGAATCGATTCCTGATGTATAATTTTTGCCTGCTTCTAAAGACCGGATCGTTTCTGAATCGATTCCTGATGTATAATTTTTGCCTGCTTCTAAAGACCGGATCATCTCTGAACCGTTTCCTTATATACTCAGCCATGTAGGCTTTACGACTGGCTCTAAAGCTGTGGACAAAGTTGAATCTGTACCTAATATAATTTATTTTTCTCTCCTGAAAAGATGCATCTGTTCTATATCTATTTTTGAACTGATCCTTCCTCTGTGCTTGATGAAGAATGTATTCTTCTTTTAAGGCCTGTAGCTTTTTAGTCCTAAATGTCGGAGATTTCAGATATCTTTGTTTTTCATATGAACTTTTTTTAATTTTATTTACTACATTCTTTCCCTGTTGCATTTTGACCCTGTTTTTAATTTTTCTTCTATTGGCTTTGGGAACTTTTGATATATTTGGAATGGTTGGAGCTGTCTCCTCTAATACACTTGCAACTTCCCTAAGCCAAGGAGGCATTTTCTCTTCAGCGGGGCTCTCTGGTTTGAAAACAGTTGGACTTACTTTTGTGGCTCTAGGTGAAATGTTCTGAAAGGCCAAATCCTCAGAAGGGTTGTCATTGTCCCTGACAAAACCTACTGGCACAAACTCATAGGTGGCATTGGGGCCGCGGTTTCTAAAGAGCTTGTGCAGATGGTTGACCATGTCAGACAGATTGCAGAAAGTCATCATTACTGCAGTTCCACTGGGGTGGGGCAGGCCTGCGGAATTTCTTGAGTGGGAATCAAAAACTCCAAATCGACCACTTCTGTCCCTGAAAACTGCAATGCACTCTGGAGTCACCAAAAGAAAGGCATGGGTGACATTTTCCGACAGGCATTCCAGTTGCAGGGCAAGAGGCAAACCCAATTGGCTCCCGCTATCAGCAAAAACATGACCTACCCTTACACCAGTTGTGTGTACTGCATAGATGTTCCTGTCTGTCAGCACATGGTCAGGCATCTCTTCAAACGTCAAGTGATTGTCACGAAATGTTCCATCACTGATCAGTTGCTGTTTAACACCGACATAAAGTTCGTCTCCTTTTTCAATCACTCTGTCAAGCAACACTGTGTCAAACTGCAACCCCTCATTGTGGTACGCTAAAAATGTGAGTGCCATGCATGTACACTGGTGATTACGGGAAAATGCAGCATACCTGTTGTTGGCCTGGGAATGTGAAGCACTCACCAACAGGACAGGTGGACCGCTGATCCCGGGTTCCAGCGCCGAAGCCTGTAACATAAAAAAAGTCATTACTTATACAAATATTCACCTGATGACTACCTACCACCGATTGGGTTAGTTGTAAACACGTATTTTCAAAAAGAGTAATCAATTATTCTGGCAATAAATAAATTAATTGAAATACAATTTTGATAAAGTAACATAATTGTAAGTACTTTCACAGCAGTAATGGATCAGTTTTCAACATAAATACATATGTTCATATTTGTGCATCTCAAATTCACTTTTCTGTACTTTATAAATTAATCAACAATATTAGCTCTCTCTTTTTTATCCAATCTACAAAAACAAAAATTTTGAAATAATATTCAATTTCATAAAAATAAAAAAGGCACAAATAAAAAAGCAGCACACCCACAAAGTTGAAAACTTGAAAACACACATTTTCTAAAATTTATAAACTCACTTTGCACAGCCATTTTTAGCTTTTGTGCTCAGGTGAGTGACATAATCTTTGGCAACTTCGTCATACGCAGAACCACGTATGCCAACTTTCTCCATAACACGTTGCACCCATTTGTTGTGACTGAGATGGTAGGAAGGAGTTACCTGGCAGCTCCCATCCCGGACATGGTCCTCCAGCGGCACAGAAGAGGACTCGGCGGGGGCGTCCGTCGGGGGGACCGGTCTCCGTGCCTGGCGACGAGCTGGCGTGGTGGTCTCTCTCGGCGCTCCCTCCATCTATAAATCAACAGAAGCTATTAACATATACATTTCATTATCTTAAAGTCCGTGATATATTTTCTGAAACAGTGTCACACCTGCTGCTCCACCGGAATCAGCTGGGAGGGATCAGAAACTGGACGACGCCTCGGACTCGTCTTCTAATCAAAAAAATAGAAGAAATTATATAATTGTTAAAACCAACTGTAGGACATCAAATTCTAATGATTAGTGTTTTAAAAAAATTAAATAAAATACCTTCTTCCTCGTCGGAGAACATGTAGGTAACGGAGCGTCACGGCCAGACGCAGGAACGATCCGGTCCATCTCCTCCAGCAACGTTGGGCTGAACCACACCGGATTCGGGGGGATGGAAGAATCCAGCAGGTCTCCCTGAAAAATAACAAAAATAGCTTAAAATAGATTCATTTCTACTCTGAGAACACAACATGTTTTGCTTTGACGTGAAGAAAATCATACCTGTTGGTCAACCACCCTCCCAGTGGCGTGTGGACAGCCATCACCACCCTGGACACCACGCGATGTCTGTAAACAAAGAAAAAGTATTTTCAGTGGCAGCAAACCCTCTGGGTCCAGGACATACATGTATAGTCATTTTGAACAAACTTTGATTTTACCTTTGAATTTCCTCAACAGAAAACATATCAATGCTATATGTGGCATTTTCTTCAGCACAACCTAAACTGTATGAAATTACACTTTTTTCCCCTTTTGGATATACTGTTATTACACATACAGGAGTTACAAAAAATTCAAGTTTGAAAAACAATTTATTTTTCACAGTGAAACTCACAAAGGGTTTCTACCTTAACTCCTGGAGTTTACAATGGCTGGAAGCTGCTGGGGGAGTCGCTCTACCTCATCCCCTGGTGATCGGCTTCTTCCAGCTGCGCAGTGCCGCCATTCCTCTCCTTGGACCACAAGTACCTGCCTCTACCCTACCGATGCGCCATCTTACCTTTTATTCCTCACATTATCTAAATTTCTAATAAAACTGCCATCAACATCGTCTTAATCTTTACTGTGCCTCAGATTGTGGCTGCAAAATTCCCTCCTTATATTCAAGTTAAAAAAAGAGCAAGCCTGTCTCTTGCACATTTGTTAGTTGTATAATTGTTCATATACAATGACCAGACAGTGAGTTTCTTTACTTTACTAGTTTTTTCTGGACTCATTCTACTTGACCTCTGTCCTGTCTGCGGTCATGTTGTCATTCATAGATTAACATATAAGTCCACATTTTGTTATTTTGTCTTTTTATTTTATATTTAGTTACATTTTTAAACTATGTACAATATCGCAGTCATGTATACATTTCCATAAATGTTAAATTCCTTATGGTTTCAATTGTGTTAACTAATATTTGGACGAACCATCTTTTTGGCAAAAGTAAGCAATTTTTCCTTAGGCACCAATAAAGTATACATAATTCTAAAAAATATGTATTAATTATGAAGTGTGTGTCACAGATTTCTGTCAAACCAATCAATATTTTACCGTTTTTGCCATTACACTGGTCCCGCTTGTCACAGTTGCTCTTTTCACACCATTACTTGCACAACTTTCCCCCATTCCGTATCAATAAAATACAGCCCATACTTATTGTTTGGAGATTTCAAATAACAAAGGGATGTCATTTTGCATTTCATATTTTACATTTGTAAGCCAATTCCCTTTCACATTCTCAAAATAGGTGGTTTTTAACATTTACATGATTTTTTTTTTTTTTTTTACAAAATAGACTTAATTATTTTAGCATAACTCCAGTTTTACTTTCCCCTCAACACAATTAAAAAACTGGTATATTGTTTACAATCAGCACTTTAAAGAAAAGTTGAAATGTCGACTCAGGGAGGCACACACAAAACAGACATGTTAAAAAGTGATACACATTCATGGACTCTTTGAGTTAAACATGCAAAATTTTGCTTAAATCAACAAAGCATGTATTTAGTACCTTTCGGCGAACCACAGTCCAGTCGAAGGGGTCCGAACGACGCGGAGCAGCCACCTCGCCAACCACAACCAGCCGGGGCAGGGGACGTCTCGCCACGGGGGGGGAAGCCGTCCCAGGGGGGGGAGGAGCCAACATCGCAGGAGCTGGGGATTTCGGTGCACTTAACTCAAGTTGCGAGCAGACCGCAGCCTGAAGCAACTGAGAAAGGACTTCCATCCCCGGACGGTCGCTCAGGTGAACCTACGAGTTATAAATACATTTTATAAAATACAGTACGCCTAACAACACTTTTACAATTATAAAAATCAATTCAACTTACGCTCAGGCTAGGCTAGGCGGAAGTGTTCAGTGACAGGGATGTACCGAACACCTAGAGAGAAATAAAAGAAAATTTCATTCTTAATGTTAGTCACACTAACAATGTAGTAATTCCAGATAATGTAGATTCAAAAGGATAAGTAAGTTAATTTTTAGTCTGAACACAAATTTTGTACATCACTTACTTCTCTGAGCAGCCACACGCTGAAACTCCTGCCGCAGCAGCTGTTGCACACTTTCCTCCACGCAAAGGCGTGGTGGAAAGTCCACAACGACCACCTGTAATTTTAATCCAAAAAAATGAAGCAAATTAACACATGCCAAGTTTTAAGATATATTTCATCATGAATAAATGCAGTGGACTTTATACTTACATTAGCAGAGAGGTTGCAGACGGTACGCAACAAAGCCCCGAACGCCGCTCCGGCCTCCACGAAGGTCCTGCTGGCGGTCAAGTTGTTACTTGGGGCCAGAAGACAGATCACCTCGGGGGGCCGAGGCAGAACTGCATCCAGCACCTCAAGCCGCAACTCTTCCGCAGAGGCCCCGGGGGATGCAAGCATCCCTAAGGAGAAGTCGCCCTTTGGCATGGTAGAATACCCATCCACAATAGCACGCAGATGGGAATCACCAACCAAAAGAGCAAACTGAAAAAGAAAAACAAACATTTAAGTTTGCTTATAGAATTTTATCATTGAAACCAAGATTTGTGTATGAGACTGGACAAAAAAAAGTACCTTCTTCTCCAGAGCCTCGGCAGTAGGCAGAACCAACTTGCAGCTCCGTCTGGTCACCCGGGAGGCTGGCCACGTCTGGACCCGATGGCGATGCCCCGTCCCACGGCCTGTTTAGAGATGTGCACTTATCAATATTAGGCTTTCATGCCTTTGAAAATGTAACAACAAAACAACAAAGATTTTATCTACATACGTGACCCAGGAGAGGTCGATTGCACACGGGGCTCCTCCTGGCGCACCACGGGAGGCGACATCTGCAAAAGAATTATTACAAAATGTTTAGATGAATTACAAACATAACTGGATTGGGTTATTTTAATTAAATGATTCTGAACTTGTCATGAACATACCTGGTCGGGCAGGCCACCCTCCAGCAGTCGCGACGTCTAAAGACATAAATAAAATTAGTAAAGCAAATGATGTTATTCAACAATAAGTTGCTAAAATGTAAAATTATAGCCATACCTTCTTCGGCGGGGACCGAGTCGGGCTCCAAGCGCTGGACGCGAGCGGTGGTGTCTCAGGCTGTAAACACAGAAACGATTATTATCGTGCTTAAAGTCAAAACTACAATAAGAACTACCGTTAGACAAAAACAATTTCAGCAGTGTGTATTAATATACCTTGGCGACGACCGGCACACTCTCCAGCTTCCTCCATCTCACCTTGGCCGCCTCCGAGCGTCGTCCTCGACGTGGCATCCTGTAACACCACAATAAAAAAAGAAGACAACTGCCGGGGAAAGGTGGTTATTTACAAATAAAAATTAAATTAAGTAATATATATGAAATTAAACTGTGTAACACTAGGTGTGTGTGTATGTGTGTGTTAGTGAATGTGTGAATGTTAAAATGTGATGAAACTTGTCTGAATATGTATTGATGGGTTAATAAGATGTTGTAGTGATGCAGAGGTGATTTGTAGCAGGTCGCAGTGAAAATTTCCAAATCGCAAAGTCTCGCACAATGAAAAGCTGTAATGAGAAGAAAAATACATAATTAAAAAAAGGCTTACAAAAATAACTGAAAGACATCGAACATTTTTTTTTATTAAATACAAGAATTAATTTCAAACTCTTCTAAGGCATCTAAATATGATTAAGATCTTTTCCACAACTGGTGTAAACATCAGTACATAATACAACTTGTTCTAAAATCTAATTAAAAACACAGATTAAACAAATTAATCTGTACATTTAAATATGTAAATGGAGAAAAATAAAGTTTAATCAAATCAACCAAGTTTTTTTATTGTATAAGCTTTTTAAAGAAAATTATAAAACTTGTCAAACATCAAAATTACAAACCTATGAAAATACACAATATTAGCTTGGTGTGTTGTAAATTAGATTTTTCATTTGAATTTTTAAAAATTATAAAGTTCATAAAGTGACTGCAGCAAGTGTTTTTTGTTTTTTTCATCATTATGTAATACATTTATTTAAGGCAAAACAAAACATCTGACTTTATTTACTCAATCAGAACCTCTAGGTCAGGGGTGTCTAACTCAAATACACAGTGGGCCAAAACTTTAAATTGAACAAAGTCGCGGGCCAAGGTTGAACAAATGAATCTTTTAATATGGACCCAAACAAGTTCTAAAATAACAATAAATATTGAACAAGCAAAGCTTATCTAACTTAAAAGTGCAGGTGTGCAAAATTGAGTTGCTAATAATAATAAAACAAATTATATTAAATAAAATATATTTAATATGTGAAATAAAATATTAAATATATTAAATAAAATTTAAATACACATTTAATGCCTCCTTTCTGACGTAAATGTCTAATATTCATTTGAAATTGCCTCGCGGGCCAAATATAATTACTCTGCGGGCCAAATTTGGCCCGCGGGCCAGAGTTTGACACCTATGCTCTAGGTTCTCCGTTGCCGAGTGACGCTGCAAATCCGCTCAGAAATTACCGCAGCTGCTTCGCTTCAGACCATAATATGGATAATATTCCCCAAATTGGACTAGAACCGAACAAAGTCACATATTAACCTGTTATAGAGAACAACTAATAAATCACGCAAAGTCTCGTGAGGGCCCGAAATAACATCAATAAATTCAGAAAAATCTTATTCCATCAAGCTAGCAAGTACGCTATCAGAGCCACGACGAAATATCGCGCAGTAAGCTTTTAAAATCAACCACCTTTGTCAACGAACACTGCATCTAACAACTACAAACAGTTATGATAATATTGTACTGAAATAAAAATTGTAAATACTATATATTATGGATAGATCACAAACACGTCTTACCTTGACCGAAGCAGACTCGGAAGCAGAAAGTTCCAGAAAGTTCCGGCGGCTTGGGAATACGTGTCAGCCAATCAGAAATTGACATTTACAGCGTGTATGACGTAAGCTCCTGCTGACCAGTCAGCTTTACAAAATAACAATTTTAAAAGATGCAACACAATAACAATTGTAAACATAGCTGTCGGAATCTGCACCTTACGTCACAGGCATAGATACAAGATGTTACATATCAACAAATCAGAGACTGACATTTTCCAGCGTGTATGGCATATGCTTCTGTTGACCACCCAGCTTCACAAAAAAAAATAATAATAAAATAAAATAAAAAATAGAATATTTTAAGACACAGAGCCTAAAAATTACTTGTTTAGACAAAGGTAAGGTTCCCTGTGACTATATTTAATCTACGTGACAGACGTAGACACAAGATAGTACATATTACAGAAATCAGATATTGACATTTTCCAGCGTTTATCAAATACTCTTCTTCTAACCTGGGAGAATATGAAAAAAATGCTTGTCTTAAGAAAAGGCTAATGCTAATTAAACAGCATTACCCTTGTTCTGCAAGGCAGTGTATTTGTGGGGGGACTAAAATGCTAATGTCTGTGTTGATATCTTTGCTTACCTATTTACCATATTTAAAGAAAAAGGCTAATGCTAATTCAGGATAATGCAGGATAATCTTATTGCACTGCCTACAGCAGTGCACACTGGGTAACAGTGAAATGCTAATGTTTGTGCTAATGTTAATGCTCTGCCTTGCTATGCAAGGCAGAGCCCTAACCTAAGAGAAAAAGATCATGCTGCATAATCTTATTGCACTGCCATAGGCAGTACACTAGTGGGGAACAGTGAAATGCTAATGTTTGTGCTAATGTTAATGCTCTGCCTTGCTGCGCAAGGCAGAGCCGTAACCTGAGTGAAAAAGATCATGCAAGCTAATATCATTGCAGCCCCTGCGGGGCTGCATTAGCCACAGATGAATCTTAAGCCTTTTATTTTGAAATTTGCATTAAGCTTCATTTAAAATTGCCACACTAATCCTGTGTGTAACAATTGTTGCTTAAAATGAGTTATAAAAAGTCCAAACACAATATAATTCTAAAGGCCAGCTCCTTCCTCCTCAGCAGTAACTCACAGTTCCGCCATGTTGTAGTTCTGACAATCAGCTCTAACCTCTTCTGTAGGCACTGAATGTTCCGCCATGTTGTAGTTCTAACCTTCAGGAATTGTAGTTCAAAAGAGCAGCTCAGTCCTCCTCAGTAGTAACTGACAGTTCCACCATGTTGTAGTTTTTATATTCACCTATGACCTCTTCTGTAGGCACTGAGTTTTCAGCCATGTTGTAGTCATAACCTTCAGGAATTGTAATTCTAAAGAGGAGGTCAACTGTCATGTCAGTGTGACACACAAGTAGAGACTTAATTATAAATGCTTGAAGAAGTTAGTTTTTCTGACAGGCCTAAGAGAAATATTCAAGGTTTTATTTTGAAATTTTCATTAAGCTTAATTTAAAATTTCCACACAAATACTGTGTGTAACAATGGTTGGTTAAAATCAGTTATAAAAAGTCCAAACACAATGTAATTCTAAAGGCCAGCTCATTCCTCCTCAGCAGTAACTGACAGTTCCGCCATGTTGTAGTTCTGACAATCAGCTCTGACCTCTTTTGTAGGCACTGAGTGTTCCGCCATGTTGTAGTTCTAACCTTCAGGAATTGTAGTTCTAAAGAGCAGCTCATTCCTCCTCAGTAGTAACTGACAGTTCCGCCATGTTGTAGTTCTGACAATCAGCTCTGACCTCTTTTGTAGGCACTGAGTGTTCCGCCATGTTGTAGTTCTAACCTTCAGGAATTGTAGTTCTAAAGAGGTCAACTGTCATGTGTGTGAGGCAGAGACAGATTTCTATCTTTGTGAGACACCCAGTTCAGTTATAATGGAAAAAGCAGCCCGAACAACTCCTTGCCGTTCAGGAACCGTGATACGTATCGGAAAACCATTTGAAGCATATGAGAGAGCTATTTTTTGTCTCCGATAGTCCTGCAAATCAAATCTGTAGCTCATTCATAGTAATTACAGCGATGATATAAAAATGGTGTGTGCTGAGGTCTGAAATTTTCCATAAAAGTATGAAAATATATGGTGGAGAGCGTCAGTTAGGCTGGAACTTGATTTGGCTCTAAAACACCGTGACAGAAAACCCTAAGCCTAGAAAAATTTCGAAAACATTTTACCGGAGCAGACATACGTATCGATGTCATGTCCGAGTTTCATACCGATTGCACGATATTTGTGGGCGTGGCGACGATGTCAAAATTTATTTGGGGTCAGAAATCCACTTCATTTTTCACTCTAGCGGAGCGGCAGTTGGTGGCAGTTATGCTCTGCGTTTCGGCAGTTGGAAATTTTGCTCGTTTTTCGCTTTTTACGTCGCCGTCGTAACGCCGATTCCCCATAAAAGTAATAGCTCCAATGCCGGGATCGAGCCGCACGTTTTGATACCACTTTTGTGGGTGGGCTCGCAGCGGTGCGAGCCGCATTAACGGTAGCGGAAGAAGAAGTTATAATAATAATAATAAAGAGGCGTTCTATTGGGTGAAGATTAATAGGTGCCTGCCATGCAATGCATGGAGGCAGTGACTGACTTGCTTCGCAAGTCAGTCACTGCTCTCCTTATGCATTGCTATGGGCAGGGCCCCAACTAGAAAATTCCTGAAGAAATTTAACCGGGGCCTGCCAAAGTGTGCCCGTCGATTTTGACCCAGCTTTCTGATGCTAAACATTAGCATCCATGCTAAAGAAAGCTGCAATGTCATCAATACAATGTGGAGAGTCACAAGCATGACTTACTGCATTCAGTACACTAAATATGGGTAATAAGTAAGGGAAATAGCTAATACCTCATGCAAGGTAAAAGGCTAATGCTAATGCTCTGCCTTGCTGCGCAAGGCAGAGCCCTAACCTGAGTGGAAAAGATCATGCAGGATAATCTTATTGCACTGCCTATGGCAGTGCACTGATGGGAAACAGAGAAATGCTAATGTTTGTGCTAATGCTAATGCACTGTCTTGCTGCGCAAGACAGTGCCCTAACTTGAGAGGAAAAGATAATGCAAGCTAATATCATTGCAGCGCCTGCGGCGCTGCATTAGCCACGGCCGAATCTTAAGGCTTTTATTTTGAAATGTTCAGAATGTTTAATTTTAAATGGTCAATGTAATCCCATGTATAACAGTGATTTGGTTAAATCAGACATAAAATGGTCAAAAGAGCACTTAAGTGATGGGAAAATTGTCAAGGCTTTTATTTTGAAAATTTTTTAAAGCTTAATTTAAAATTTTCACACTAATTCCATGTGTAACAATGGTTGGTTAAAAAGAGTTATAAAAGGCCCAAAACACAAGCAGTTCTAAAGTCCAGCTTTTTCCTCTGAGTTCTGCCATGTTAGAACTACAGTGATGCATTTTTGTAGTCCTAACCACTGGCCCTGCTGTGTTCCATTGCTATGGTAATGGATCCTCTGCCAGCTGTGAGTCAGACAGGGGGAGACATAATTCTATCAGTTTGTGGCAGCCATTTTGCCTAAAATAGGCATGAGCCAGAAAGAGTCTTAAGGCTTTTATTTGGAAATTTTCAGTAAGCTTCATTTTAACTTTCCAAAATAATCTAAAGTGTAACAGTGGTGTATATAAAAAAGTCACATAATCCCCAAGAGAGCAATTCCATAATATAAACGAATGTCAGGGCTTTTATTTTGAAATTTTAATTCAACTTAATTTAAAATTACCACACTAATCCTG